GGATAGTTGTTTACGTTCATTATATAAAAGTCTTGATGCATTAAGAACTGTCTATAATTTACCGCTCTCGTCATGCCCAGTATGATATGCTTCAATACATAATTGCGGGCAATTGTATGCACATTGTAAGTTATCGGAAATGAGTTACTATACTCAATAAAGAACGCGTCTGAGTCTATGTGTATCGTATTGAAATACACAACCACACACACTCGATTATGTGCTGTTGACCCCGTATAATTATGGCACTTAGATTGTCACTTTATCAATAATTCGAAATGTGTATATGCCTTCTGAAATTTTTAATTGTCTCGCAAAACATTGGGTTTATTTTCATGATAAATACACGATGTGGGTCTCTGCAGTGAATGCTTGCAGCACATTGTTTTGCTTTCGAAAAATGAAGGTGAAGTTATTCAGAAGGGATTGTAATTACATTCCCTATCTGTGGAGCGCTTTTGATATAAGTGGAATAATAATTTTACAAAATGTCATTCTATTTGTAGCGAGCTCACTGAACACACGTAATCATATATAATATATTGGTATACTGGCAGCCTTCACCAATTTCGTTGTACATGTATCACATTCACTTGATATGCCATGTGTGTGTCTTTGTACGTTTCTACATTAAGGAACATAGCGGGACAATTCTACAATTTTGATTACTTACTTTGGACAACAACAACCAAATATCGTTGACAATACTTCCCATGCATCGTTTCGTTCCCATACCGCTCCTCTCTTCAAATCTCTTGGTATTTTAATTATTCATAAGCTCTGTATATTACACATCTGTTTGTTCGTTTTTGACTTAAAGAAGAAGCAATATGCCCATAGTATTGACAAATATCTAGACACACTACCCCATAATTACCCTACAAGATATGCTGCAGGCGACAACTATTATACTCCCAAAGTCAATCTCACATTAAATCAACATACTCTCAAATACGCTTCTACTAAGCACTGGAACTCACTTCCCGATCGCATAAAAAGTATACAAAATAGACAGTCTTCAAATGCCACTTAAAAAGGTATCTTCTAGAAGATATGTAAATTTTACTTTCCTATCAGTATTATGTGTATTTGTATGTTACGTTGTTTTATTTTATCAAGAGCGTGTGAGTATTTCTGTATTGCTTTATGTATTATAGTATTCATTACATGCTTTAACTATGTCTTGTGCATCTTAGCTTATCATTACTTTATTATATATCTTGGATCATAGGTCACAGACTAGATTAGCTTGAATAAGCTATTTCTGTGATCCCACCAGCAACACAAAATATACACTATATTACTATCATTGTGATTATTACTATTATTAATTTTAAGTATTTATTTATTTATTTATTTATAATTTACTACTCAATGTATACACTGTTTCTCTGGTGAAATAAAATTCCATTCATTTTATTCATTCAATCATCGATACTAACATGGCATATGTTTTTAGTCCAAAATCTCGTAAATTTCATATTATATATCACATCTGACATGTGTGATGTTATGTTCCCTTGGTAGTATTATTTAAAGAACTAGCTGCACAGACTATGAAGTGTTTATTATGTTTCTGGGGCAGTCGTTCTATCGGTAATATGCCAGTTGCGTGTAATTTGTTGCCACAATCCGAATGAGTGGCGTATTAGCACTTCGTGTGCGACGTAATATGTATGTAATTATTATCACTATTATATCGAGAATAAATAGAGATACATTAGAATGTCAGGTTCATTTAACTAGTGTGGACATTTTCATTTGATTTGATCATTGGCGTGTTTGAATTTGATATCCTATCTACCCTATATATCCGTGTCATAAAACACAGTAATCGTTGAGGGCGTATTCGAGACATCGTACAGGGTACTGCTCACATCGCCGTGCATGAACACCGATTGCCGCCAGTTTACTCTGTTGCCATTATTTTGGAACCATCACTATATTCGTAATTCGGGATGCATTATTTTGGAGACAAATCTTGAAAATTAAACTAAATAGATATATTGATGCTGTAATGTTCATAAGCAATCCAATGTTCAATGATATTATTTCATTGACATATCCTTCACAAATGAACCGCATTTGCTTCACATCTTGGCAGAGACCACCATCTTGTAAATGAGTACTCCTATGTCACAAATTATCGCTGATGTTCGAACATACTTGTCTTGGTAGAAAGTGGCACTATAACTGTGTAGTTGAATTGTTAGTTGGTTCTCAACTATTTAGTTATGTATATCGCTGAGGGCGAATGTGGCTGCTACTACGGCAGACAGGATGTACTCAATCTTTTTGAAAGACTTGACATCACCTCTTTGTTTTTAGAAGGTTAATATATCTAACCCTAAATTGACCGTGTTGTACTATGTTGTGTTTGTTCCCTTGTTTTTTTTTAGGAATTGTAAAATTCAAGTTTGCTGGTTGATTTCGATGTTGGGAGTTTGCTTATTCTTCTGGTCCACTATAAGAAATATTCCATCATATTTCAAAATATTGTTCTATGATATTTAGTGCTTATGACTTCAGGGCAGGCATATGACTTTAGAATTTGAATATAAATATTTATTTAGTTGTTATCCATGGAATTATGTGTATACATGGAATTCCTTATTTGTGCTCACGTTTACGAAAATGCCCAAATGTATTGCATTTTGAGAAAAAACTTCACATGAACTGTCCTACATAAGGAATTGTTGTTCAATAACGTGGATTAAAGCCTAACACGGTATACACAACGATTGTCACACTCGTATTTGTGTGTGTGTGTGTTTGTTTTTTTGGAAGAAAATACTTCGCCAACATTCACACGTTTTGACTTTTGAAAAGTTTTTATTCTGTGCCCATAACATCAACTTGAATAATAAAGTATGGAGAGAGATAATTAATATTTTACGACCATTTTTTGTTCAACTTATGTAAAAAAAAAAACGGGTCTGTGTAATTTCATTGTTATAGTGTCTGTGCCAGCACTGTACGTCGTGGTAACAATAAAGTTAATGCAATTATAAATGTTCAGGGATTACAACCTAGGTAGCAAAGCAATTATACTGAGTTTTTTTGTTTATACCCGTGTTTCGATGTCAATGTTTTTAGCAAATAACTTATCACGTTTCTGTACGTACTATAAAATAAATGAACATGATGATCTCCATGGGTAGACATAACCAAAGCTGGTGTTACGTTAACATTTGATGGGCACCACATTGATTGCAAATACTGCCCCATTAAAGGGCCGTGGTCGTCGCGCTGCGCATGTGCGACATTTGTGTTGATAACCATTGATTTTCCCAAAACCCAATGCGCTCTTCAAATGGAAATCACAAGTATAAGGTTTGACCTGGGCGCGACTTGCACTGATTACCGCCGGTGACTCCTTCGATACCTTCAAATCTCCTAAATACCTAGTTAAAGCTTCGTAACGTCTCAGTTTGTACTCGTTGATCTGTCCAACAGCCAAAGTCGCCATCTTTGTTGACATGAGACCCACATATCTCGCGTATGCGTGGTGCGACGACCACCGCCCTTTAACAGTTTAATATGATTATTTTAAGACAGTAAGATAGCAAAGATGAACTTCAAAAATACAAATATGTGAATATGTAACAAAAGACAGGTGCCATAAACGCCGAATGTGAAAAACTCCTGAGCGCATAATCAGGTTTCAACAATCATTCGTACAGTAACACTGTGATGTAATCCACTGCAATATAGCAACGCAGTCTGAATACAATCAGATGTAGATATAGGCTCGATTTTGTTATTTAATGTTTTTTATAATTTATATTTTATTTATTGTAATTTTTGCTTATTTGTGACTATTGCTTTTGGTCTTAGCATGTAAATAATGTATATAAAATAAAAAAATAAAATAGAAAGAAAGAAAAAAAAACCTTACCGGATTTAAATCGGATTTATAGCAATGCTATTTGTACGTTTGAAACCATTGACAAATTTAAAGCGCGGTAGTCGTCGCGCTGCGCATGTGCGAGATATATGCGCCTCATATAAACAAAGATGGCGACTTTGACTGTTGCGCAGATCATGGAGGTAAAAACAGATCAATGAGTACGAACTGACACGTTTCCACGCTTTAATTAAGTAATTTTCATGTGATTGGAAGGTATCGAAGGAGTCACCGGCGGTACTCAGTGCAAGTCGCGCCCAGGTCAAACCTCACACTTGGGATTTCCATTTGAAGAGCGCATTGGATTGTAGGAAAATCAATGTTTATCAACACAAATGTCGAACATGCGCAGGGCGACGACTACGGCGCTTTAAAACTATACGAGTCGATCAATAGGCGTTCTTCCAAATGTAATTGCAATGGTACAATATAAATTATATTTCATATATTTAGTGCCGAAAAAAACACTGTATTCTTGTTGTTCAATTACTAACTCCAGTGAGCATTCTGCATACAATCACTTTTTTCTTCTTCTGGCGATGACGTCAGTGAAACTCCGGGAAAGTTATGGACTGTACCATTCATCCGCCGGGTAGAGTCGCGTGTACTTGTAAACTTGTTGTAAACATTACGTCATCTCGAAAAGTCAGCAGTACGACCACCATAAAGCTAGCTATGGTACAGTAGCAGATAGTAAGTTGCGTCAGCATGAACGTCCAACAAACTAGTAGTATTTTTACGAAAATTGTGAAATGTTGTCCCAGCTGTTCACAACATGTATGTATTCACACTAAAACAATATTACTTATTTCCAAATATGGTTATAATCGTTCATACATGTATTTGCAGTGTCAAGTTGAAGAAAAATTACCCAGTAAATGCACCTCTTTATGCCCACAATAACCCAAGCTGCCAAAGTTAAAGTTAAAAAAAGAACATGAATGGTATCGCCCGGTTTTTTATTTCGTCGGCCATGTTGAATTAATCCAGACGACAGAAGCATGTGTTCTGAGACAAGAAATTTGGGCGTTTCCCCTCAAGATAAGAAAAACAACCCAACAGCTGTCTTCCATTTTATACGGCAAGGGTACAGAGGAACCCAATCTAGCGATTTGTGACTAAAATGAAGCGGATAACAGCAACTTTCTGTACAATTTGTGCCATTTTCTGGTGGACAGTCGTGTTCGCTTTGGCGACCGACACGGATGCCTCAACAGTTTCTCCAACTGCAGGTTAGTGCGTCGACTGTGAGCAGTTTCCGTAATTCCATGTTATCCCGATTTATTTGAACGTCTCGCTAACGTACTCTATCGTTTAGTTGTACAGACTCTTAGCTGTTCCTCAAAACATCGCCTTTTAATGCATTGTTTTGAAAACACTGACAGGCCATGCGTTTGTCCGGTCAGCTGTTCGCCGACGTCATTTACATTTGAAAAAGGTGTCCCCTTGTTGACCTGTTTATCAATGCCCTTTTTTTCAAAAGACCTTTTGTGTTGGCAGCATGTGTATGTTTACATCTGCCCTCAGCTTCTTACATGTTATTTACACGATGTGACCGACCGTGCCGATTAGGGTCCTTTCATCTGATATTTCGGAGGGGGGGGTGAACATGGATGAAAAATGAATACTAGTACTCTCCTATTTATTTAACCTAAAATTATTTCCCCAACTCTGTTACATCATGTAGTCATTGTGGATTTTTCTGTGACATTTTTTTAAAGAGAGCTACCTCTTATTACACTGTTATTTTTTGCTCTGTTCTTGTCTTGAAACCCAATCAAAACAACAGCTGCACCAAGCCAGTCACTGAAAGCTATCGCACATAACAATTATTAAAATGCAGAGAATGTTTTCTTTAATGGAATTTGTTGTTCATTTTTGAATTTTAAGACTGTTTAGAAAGTTTCTTTGTACCCCCACCACAATCCTAAATCTACCCTCCCCCATTCAATTGTAATAATAATAATAATAATAATAATAATAACTTTAATGAAATCATATCCACAATGGGGTATTGATCAATACAATAAAGGTAATATATATAAAAATAATGACAAAACAAAAAATGACAAATATTACTAAAACTAATAAAATACATAACAGTTAAGAAAAAGAGAAAAAAGAAGATAATTTATAAAAAAAAACATGTATAATAAAAAAAAGAAAAGAGTGTTTCTTTGTTATGAGGCAGCTGGAAATCCTTTTTTTTAAACTTTCTTCCCTTATAGTAAAACACTTCAGATAACTATAGGTGTATTCATAAGGGGTGTATACAATTAATGTGGGGAGTGTTGGAGGGTAAGGATAGGGGTACAAAAGGAAATCTTTTCGACAATTTAACAATTCTATCTTCTTAAGGTTTTTATGATTTTCATAAAATAGTTTTATTTTATTATGTTTTCTCAAAACAAAAATATATCGTCACAAAACTACTTTTCATGTTAAAAAAATGGCTGAAAGAAAATGGCAATGTTTGAGTCATTTAACATTGGTTCTATTGCTATTGGAAAAAGATCTCATATCTGACAATAATGTTATTTTAAGACGAATAACTCTATTTTCCGTGAAATAATGCCTTTACATGGATTCCTATATTCCGAAAGTGCCCCTTTTTTGCCAGTCATGGTTTGTACTTTGTTAAACCACCCTAATCTCTGACATATTTCAAAATCTATAATTAAACAGCACATTTGAAACAAAATATTGTGTTTACGTTTTCACTCTATTTAATTACTGTGGAATACTTTATTTTCGCTGGAATTAATTTTGGCTGAAAAGGCTTTTTGGGAGTTTTGCTTGGAATTTATTTTCACTGATTTTTCATGAGTTTAATGTGAAATATAGGAAAAAAAGTATATTCGCTGGATTTTATTTTCACGGAATCATCCCATCAGCGAAAAGTATTCTACAGAAGGTCAAAATACCAATGAGTGACTGTGAATGCCTGGGGGGGGGGGGGGCAAAACAATGAATAATTACATATTCATGTGCTTGAACTTCACTGAGGCATAAAAAATAATTGCCTATATAACTAAATAGTTTGGGGATGGGCCATTAAAAACATTTGAAGGGGGTCAGAAGAAATTAATAAAGTTTTGTACCCATCAATATGGCAACAAACTTTATATTTTGTAGTGTGACAGCTGATGAATTTGTTTCTATATGAAGAGTGTACAAACTTTTTTTCTCCCTTTAAACTAATGTTTTTATCCCTGATAAAACCATACCTTGATGTACAGTATATATCAGCAACCGTTATCAAAATATTTCATTGTTGTTAATCAACAGCAGATGGGGGTCATAAGTACTATTCAGAGGTGCAAAGATGCACTGAGCTTTTCTGCAAGCTTGGCGACTCCAGGTTCCATATTCTTGTGGTATCAAGCTCTATTGTATGGCTTTATGCAAGTCGTCTCATGTGTTTGCTGTTTTACAAAATCTACTAGATTTGTGCTGAAAATACATAAATTGTCTTCCTCTCACCAGGCCAATCTATGGTGACCCATAATTTTGTTTTTCTACTCAGCTTTGAAAAACAGTATCCTCCAGATACACCTCTTGTTTCCATTTGGTTTAACCCTTGCCTTGGTTACCTTAAAAAAATACAGGTACATTCCCTATTTTATTCCCATTAGGGAATTTCATCAAATTTGGCCTTAGAGTTGTATTTGTGGCAGAATTTAGTTTGAAATCTTAAAGCGAGAAATTGTTGATGTTCACAAACATCATGAGCTATTTTGTTTTTAGCGTGCATTGTTATCGTCGTAGTTAGAAGTCTAATTCTTGTGTATATGTGACAATCTAACGACTTTAGTGAAGTCACAAGTCTTGTACATACACAGGTGACTATCCAATTGCTTTAAAGGCTGAAGCTCAATTGTCGAGCATGCACAGATGACAACCCTGTCACTTTAAAGGCTGAAGTCAATTGACCTTGTCATTAATTTTTGTTAGTTTATTGTTGGTGTATTTCCTGTTTGAGTATTTTGACTTTCCAGGATCAAATTTTTACACAAAGTAATTTATTATCATAAATTGTGGCTTGAAATCATTGTTGTAATATTCGTAGTCACTTACAAACCAATGAAAAACAATTTACTGTCACCGCCATATTATTCGAACACCAAAAAAGCAACATTGCCGGCTAAGATGCTGACTAGTTTGCCAATGCGCCCCTGGAGATCGATCAATGGTGTCAGTACCCAGCAAGGGAGGGAGTCATCACCTGCGCATGCGTCAGATGGCCATAGCGTGTAATTGTTTACAAACAAGCTTCCACCCATGAGCCTTTGCGTTTTTAGCGTGTGTTGTTATCGTCGCTTGCGACTCAATTCCTGCGTGTACGTAGGTGACGACCCTCCCACTTTAAGTTTAGCTCAGTCTGTACTGTACATCGTTATTAGACTGAATCAATCACAGTACAGTGCAAGAGCCACTGCTTTTTAATATGTTACCAAATTTAGCATAACATTTTCATAAACCTCACTGTAGTGAATACTTTAATAAATTGTTATCCAATATTGGCTCAGCTGCCTGTAATATATTACACCCTTTCATTTTCATGATTAAATAAATCATAATGCTTGTTCAGTACATGAGTTTTCTGGTTGCTATGTTACCATGCATCTGCTCTTACTCAATGCTGGTACAGTAAAACTTTCATCCATCCTGTCATGCACATCAAAGCTCTCTCTGTCATGTAAAAATAATTATTACACCATTTTCTATTCACTGTGATATCCTATGTCATGCAAGACAGATTTCTCTAGAAAAAATGTTTACTAAAATTTACTAAAAGTCTATCACTGCATAATACTTTATTTTAGGTCCAATTAATTTTTGCTGAAAAGACTTTTTGGATGTTTTATATGGAATTTATTTTACCTGAATCATTCCTTTAGTGAAAACTAATTCCAAATGAAAATAAAGTATTTCACATTATCTATATTTGTTATCATGTATATGTATATCATATATGGTATGTTTACCATTCTTTTTTTTTTTCACGCATATCACATTACTGACATGCAAACAAATCCAGAGAGCACTAAACTAACATTCGTCCAACTATCTTATTTATCATGCTTGCATTGCTTAATAATGAAATACTGTAGAATACCACGCACTAATTAAGGTTAGAAGACAATGATGAACGAAGTTCGAAACAGTGGCTTAAATTTGATCTTCATCTATTCGTTTGGAGTCATATTTCAGAACCTTCTTGACTGAATCTGTTTATTACTTCAGACAAAAGATAACAAACTTGCACTGAGCCATCTTGCTTTTTAGCAATATTACGTTAACATTTCCTCTAATTGTAACAGGGACTATGTCATTACCAATGGATAGGTGGGTTTATTGGAAATACAATTGTTTTCCTCAGCACAAATTTCTAACGAATTGTCTATCAGATATTCGGTCCTGTCAAAGTTAGAATAAATATAACCTATCAATGAGGGCATGAATGTCTTATTTCTGGTGAGAATGCTCAATTGTAGGTTTACATACCGTATACTACTGTTCATCATTACCAATGGATAGGTAGGTTTATTGGAAATACAACTGTTTTCCTCAGCATGAGGGGGCTGTCAAATTTCTAATGAATTGTCTATCAGATATTCGGTCCTGTCAAAGTTAGAATAAATATAACCTATCAATGAGGGCATGAATGTCTTATTTCTGGTGAGAATGCTCAATTGTAGGTTTACATACCGTATACTACTGTTCATCATTACCAATGGATAGGTAGGTTTATTGGAAATACAACTGTTTTCCTCAGCATGAGGGGGCTGTCAAATTTCTAATGAATTGTCTATCAGATATTTGATCCTGTCAAAGTTAAATAAATAAATGAATAATAAATATAACCTATCAATAAGGGGATGAATGTCTCGTTTCTGATGGGAATGCTCAATTGTAGGTTTACATGTGTTATTAAAGATTAAATTATTAATATAGTTATATCACATTGATATCTGCTCTAAGTTCAATGTATACAACATATGTTCAGTGACTATGACATCATAATAATATAAGGATATTACGAGAATACCTCAATATATACACAAAGACAGTACATCTGGAGTATCGACCGATGCGCAGCGGAGGTCGGTGCTTGGCATACTGTCTGACTGCATACTTTGAGGTATTCTCGTAATAATCTTAATATTGTACATTTTTTCCTTTCAAGGATACATCATAGGAATGCCGAAATCTAAAAAGTTTTGAATAG